TGGTCTAAAAGACCACTCTAGGCGGCTTCCAACATACAGTAGTTTGTCTAGTAACAGAGGAAGACAATTGTCTATTGATAAAATTAGTTGATAGATCACAGTAAAAAAAGTGACTGGGTAATAAGTGTGTTAATACACTTGTAGTAATACGTCTATAGATATAGGTGGCACACATAGATTCAGATACAGTATTTTAACAACTGCTACCTGCATAGATAGCAAGACAGTTTGGTTGTGTAGGTTATGCTTTACAGTGCTGGTTACAAAATAAACATGTGCATTTTTAAAAGCTTGCTTGGAGAAGAAGCACTTTTGAAAGGTGTTAGGGCTAATTCTGTAGAGGTGAAGCCACTTGCCATTAGCACACAAGTTTTCTTTTCCATGATTCATTCCACACATGCAAATCTGTTCTATTTAAGTTTACTGTAAAATGATTTCAGTCATCCTATCATCTGGCCTCTCTTTACTTCCAACTGGCCTGTATTTATAGAAGAGCTATAATAATACCATTCTGTCTTCTTTTCTGATACGTTTGATTGAGTTAATACTGTCAGAAAGCCAGAAGGCACGTGTCTTCTGTTCCAGCCTGGCTCATTCTGTCTTCTTTTCTGATACGTTTGATTTATACTGTCAGAAAGCCAGATAAGGCACGTGTCTTCTGTTCCAGCCTGGCTGTGTGCGCTCAAAAGCCATTAAGCAAGCCCTGAGGCATTCAGCAGCAAAGTAAGGAGCAGGGAAAGGAGTGAGTAACACCAGATCTGGGCCAGAGCCCAATGAATGGGAGTGTTCCTTTTAAGACTCAACAAACACCTACTGAGATTTTCCGTGGGAGTGCTGGTTGCTGGATTAGTGTTGAAACCTCAGTCCAGAGCTGGGGAAACCTGGGTCCTCCAGATTTACAGACCTGAGCTTCCAGAAGCTCTAGCCAGTCTTAAAAAAAGGTAAAGGATCATGGGAAATGCAGTACAAGTATCTGGCCTATACCAAATCTCCACCACCACCCTTCCAATTTCACAGAGAGCTGGGAGGAATTTAAATGCACAGCATTCTGGCTTGGAGTTCATGTACCCTAGGCTTCACTGGAGGGTCTCCATTTGCACCTTCTCTCTTCTGAGGACCTTGTTTACAGGGCATGTTTTCAGTGAGACAGCTGAGCAACAGATTCCACTTCAGTATTTCTCGATTTTATCCCAAAGTTTAGCCTCTACCAGCTAAAAATTTAAGAAAAAAAGTAAAACCTTTACAATTTTAAAACTCCTTCATGCCTCCTCCCCACAAAAAAGCCCCATCCCTGAAGAGCCCCTCTCCCCAAGCCCAAATAAACACCTCCTCCATGGCCCCTGTGCCCCTCCAGTTCTCCTCCACCTTTTTGCATTCCTTTTCCATGACTCAGACAGGGCTTGGAAGCATTTCCCTGCCCAGATCCCCTCTCCCTTCAGTGCTGCCGTCGCCACCCGTGCGAGTGGGAGAAACAGGTGGAGCAAAAGGTCTGCTGCCATGGCAGCAAGAACTTTTCAATCCTGCCACCATCTTGGACATCAGCGTTGCCAGCATGTACCACATGTTTGCCTCATTCAGGCCTCTTTGAGCATGACTAATACTTGGGTCCTAAGGACTGACATCAGTCCTCCAAAGGTGGATGCAGAGTAGAGAGAAACAAGCTAGAATAACTCTTTTGAAGGGCACAGGAATGATGCACATGCAAAAAGGAAAATCCATCTAAAAGGGGGTGGGGGTGGTACAGAAATAACTCTAGGTAAAGGTTCCCCTTGACATTTGGCAGGAATGATACACATGCAAAAGGGAAAATCCACCTAAAAGGGTGGTACAGAAATAACTCTAGATAAAGGTTCCCCTTGACATTTTAATCCAGTCGTGCCCGACTCCAGGGGGCGGTGCTCATCCCGTCTTACAAGCCATAGAGCCAGCGCTTGCCTGAAGACAGTTTCCATTGTCACGGGGCCAGCGTGACTAGGGAACACCGTTTTCACCTCCCCACAGAGATGGTACCTATTTATCTACTCGCATTTACATGCTTTCGAACTGCTAGGTTGGCAAGGAGCTGGGACAAAATGACGGGAGCTCACTCCGTTGCGTGGATTCGATCTTACAACACTCTGACCCTGCAGCACAGGCTTCTGCGGTTTAGCCCGCAGATTGAAACTGTCTATCTGTGGCCAAAAAGGATTAAAATAAAACAGCATTGCGTATACTATATTTAATGTAATCAATATAAAAACAACTGCAACAAACCCCCTGCAAAATAACTTTGTGATGGCCCTGGGGTCACGACTCTAACATTGGGAACCTTTGTACTGGAGTGTTAATGTACGCCAGGGAATACAATGGAAATTAACTCCCATGAAAGCATTCAAAGGGTTGTGCTGTATACTGTCTTGTCCTGGTTGTCATAATAACTCCTTCCCCTATAGATAGTCTGACCCCAGGGCACAAAAGTGACCTCCAGACTACCAAAAATATCCACTCTGCATTAACCTTCTCTATGTCTGTAGGGCAGTGGCAGGAACTGTTGCAACATATGCAAGAAGAGGAAAGGAGATATTTTTAATCTACTTCCCACCCCCTACAAAGCACCTGTAACCATGAAGTAGCTTTTGGGCTCAATGGTAGCCTTCCAAACATTATTGCTCTGCAGCTCCCTACACAGGCAGTAGTGATGGCATAGGCAATTGTTAGTAATCCAGCAATATCTGGAGAGCTACCAGTTTTCCACCACGGCTGTAGCCAGAAATGATAAGCTTGAGAGAAACCTATTACACACAGAACAAGCCTGTGCCTGTTTACTTAGAATAAAGCCCAACTAAATTCAATGAGCCTTACCCCCAAATCAGTATACAGGATCTAGGATTTCCTGTTTTCTCAAAGAGCACTCTCTTTTGTCTCCCTTGAACTGCTTTTCAGAATACCTTTGCTATATCATCTCCTCCTCTCTTCCAATCCCCTTTTTCATTAAGCCTCTAGCACAATTTCCTACTTCTCACATTTCAATCAGGATAGAATTTTTGGAAATAAGTTCTACTCCCATAATTTGGTCTGGTGAGTTCTTGCCAAATTATGCTAGTAGAAATTCTTGAATTCCAAAAATTCCATTCCTACACCTTCATTTAACTAGACTTAAGCCTAAGTATAAGCAGCTGAAATAAACATATTCTTCCCACTTACCCATGCTTCGTCACCTTCCAGCATCTCTGCTGTCTTTCTTGTACTGAATTCTAAACTCCAAAGGCAAGCTTTAGTTTATAAAGTGCCACATCTATTGATGGTGCAGATATAGACATAAAATAGGTGTATTGTATGGGAGTTAAGGGGTGAAAAATCTGCTTTCCAGTGGTAATCTTGATATGGCTTGGCCTCAACAAGCTACTAGAACTATAATATGCCAAATTTGCATCAGAGTTGATTTTCATTACTATGTGCCGCTTTTCTAAGATTTTTCCCCACACATCAAGAGTGTTGAGTACCTACTGAAACATCCACAAAATTGGTTCAGCAGATATGCTGCAGCTTTGCTATGTTGTTTTAAAATTACTATTTTTTTTTTCTGGTTCTAATTTCTTGAGCAAGTTGCCTGTGGTAAAAGCAGAAATGGGCTCTGACCACAAGCTTCCAGTCGCATTTCCTCAGAAAGATGCACAGGATATGTATATCATCTCAGAGAAAGCTATCCGTGCTGATTTCAACGTGCAAAATCATTTTTGCCCTTGGTTCCAATCTCTCCTTGAAGGGGCAAACCTTCTCGTTCGAGTTCACAAACATCAAGCTTTTTCTTAGGGAGACTGTCATCAAGGACATTTTATTCTTATCTGGATGAGCAACTGACAGAGAATTACAGTAGCTGATATTTTGCTTTAATTCTTTGATGACAGCCTTCTGAATTAAAGCAAAACGCAACACAAATGTTAATCCGATCATGGGGTAGGAGAACACATAGGTTTTTGCGACCTGCGTTATAGGTGCGTCTCATTCCTACTTTCCGTTTTCCAGTCAGTCTTCTTCCCCATTTCCAATCAGTAGATAGACACACGAGAGAGAGATAAAGGTCATTAAGAAATCAGAAAAAAATCTATAGGAATATTGCCCATGAAAATAACAAAAAGACAAGAGACTTGCCCAAGGTCACGGAGGGATGTGAGGACCAATAGAGAGCAAAGCTGCAATCTGTTCCAATCTACTCAGAAATACGTCCCACTGAATTCAAGGCGGTTTGCTTCTACAAAGATTTAAACCATGAAAAAGAACGAGCGAGGATGTTTAGGGCCAATGCAATGAACTTCTTGCTGTACTCTCCTTTTCGGTAAGTAAGCAATACTGGGGGAAAGCATGAAAACGGAGATGCGTCAGTACCAAAATAACAACACACGCACAAACCAACAAACACACATACACACTGACGAGCCGGAAGCGAGCCGGGCATTTTTAACGTGAGGAACAGCGTCGCGTTCGGCCCCAGCAACCCTCCCCCCCCCTCCATTGCGGTGATCCGGACAAGGCGTTCTCTTCGCCTGCAGTGATTTCAATGCGGGGGGGAGGGGAAGAAGGGGGAAAGGGTTCGTTTGCGCGTGCGCTACTCCTAATTCGGCTCGGCTCCCTCGCGCGCCTTTGGGAGGGAGGGTTCCGAGCCTGTTTCTAGGTCGCCGGGCTGCCTGGTTGGTGGATGCCGAGA